CTTCTCCTACATTGTGCCCATCCCATCACGACCTTGGAGAAAGTGGCCCTGAGTTAACCTGTAGGTGTTGCCACATCTCAAGTGCCAGACTTTTTCTGTGTCTGGGAATGAGTCGTCTGAGCCTGTCTGAGCTTCACTATGTGCATTTGAAAGGTAGAGGAGCAAGAGGGAAAGTGGTGAGTAAACCAAAAGGTACTGATACAGCAGTACTTCCAAGCCCTACCCATCTCCCTGACTGATAAACAAATTTGTCACTCAACTTATCTCCCTCCCTGGCCTGCTCATGTATCAGGTGCCTGGGTACAGCTGATGCTGAACACTGAGAATGAGAGGAAGAGGAGGGATAGTCAGGCTTACTGAAACAGGACAAACCATATATGGAGTAATGGGCTGTGGGGAGAAAGTAGAGGGTTAATGGCTGAGGGCTTGGGGGTGGTGGGACAGACTGGACACAGCTAATGCAAGGTGGGGAACCAGTACAAATCCAAGAACACAAGGAAAGAAAGCAGGACGTGAAGAATATTGCCAAAGATTATAAATTAAATTTGCTTGACTATATATTTTTCCCTAGGAGAAAACAGTAAGCTGTTTGAAGTTATTTTGTCAACGACTATGATGTTTTCTGTTGTTCTCCTTGCTTGACTGGCATTTGGCAAAGAGGTTGGATTATATGGCCAAAGGTTTATAAGGGGTGCACAGATATTAAAGAACTCCTTTTCTATGGAAAAAGATATTGAAGGTAAGAGTGGTCACTCACTTTGTCCCAAATCATTTGACATTAGAATCAAGTTTCAAACTCAGCCAGGATTACAACCAAGTCCACTTTCAACCACTTCACTACTCTGCCTCTCAAAATAGAGGGTTTAACTTCACGTCAGTTTTTAATTGTTCAAAAAGCTCTTACTTCCAACAGTGACATTGTATAGTCCCTTTTACTGACCACCTCCATGATTTTGATAAAGACAACCACTTATGTAGGTGACACATAGATAAAAGTTCTCTGTAAAGACGTCTGTTCAGTTCCTATGCATCCATTCTCACTGAGTCATAAGCTGGATAGGTAGGGGACATATAATAGCTTTGCTTACAGAGTAGATATTCAATAAAAGCTGCTAATGATGATGCATATAAATGAACAGGACCACGAGCCTCCATCTGGCAAGGTAACCTAAAATTCTCATTGAATTCCTTTTATCCTAAATTTCTCTTTCCATTATGTTACACAGGCTATATCAGAGAGAGCTAGAGTCCCCTGGTGTATGTTTGTCACGGAACCTTTGTTCCCTTGTTCTTTATGAGAATTTTGTCCTACTCAGAGTTGAAGAGAAAAATGACCCATTTATATTCTCGGCACTACTCTGTGGGTTTTATTCCAATTGCTATTGTGACAGGGGCTGTTACGAAGAGGAATACCAATGGAAGCAAGGAGTTAAGTTCACTGCTGCTTCAAATGCAGTGAGCTGGTCAGATGACTCAGAAGAAAGAGAATGGCAGCACAGTCTTGAATTCTAAATTTAGACAGATGGACAGACAGATACAGAGATGGAGAGATGGAGAAGTATGTATATAAACAGGTATACCTTTAGGTATGGACTGGTTGATCTACCTGTCTACCTCTCAGTCTATCCACCCACAGGTCATCTGGCTAGCTTTGGCTGGGAGACAAAATAGCATGTGGTTAAGTAAAAACTTAGGGCTCAGAGACCTGGTTCTGGTACAACCTCTGTATATGTGACTTTGGAAAATTAATCCCAGCTTTCCCATATGAGCCACAGGTACGGTAATAGTGGCACCTTTATCAGAGGTTGGCCGTGACTTCCCCAGGCCGTGACTTACCTTGCATTAGTGCCTGGAGACTGTTTACCCCAATTCACCTTCCAAAGTAGGTGGTACACCAGCAGGAGATGTGATTACTTTGGGGGGGGGGGTGCTAATATAATGATGATTGTAAGGGATGGTAGAAAATAGGTCAGATTGCTTTTAGGAGACTTTTTATTGAAACTCCTAATGTCGACATCTAGGAGGATAGGATTTGGAGTTAGATTAAGACTTGAGTTCAAATCCCAACTTTACCATTTTATTAGAGGGGTATGTGTGTATAATAGAGAGGGAAAGCAGAATGAGACAAAGGGAGAGAGAGAGAAGGAATGGCCCTGTCCCTTCAACAGAAATTCAATACTCTTATCTGTAAGAGGGGATAACAATAGCACCTACATCATAGGGTTATTGTAAGAAATACATTACACAATATATATACATAAGTCTAGCATATTATTTGTCACATGGTAAGCACATAAAAATAATTGTTGTTCTTGAACAATGCATTCTATTATTAACTGTCTAGATGGGCTGGGCCTAGGCTCCCCATTCACGCTTATCTGAAAGTCATTGTTATCGGGGACTATTTGCTAATTCCCTATGCAGAATGTAAATCTTCCACACTTCCAGACAACCTCATCTGGCCTGCTCCATGCTAATTATGTACTTATCTTATCTGAATATCTGTTGCAAATTTACAAAGCCACTTTTGTCCTTCTGTCTCCTGGCTATACACAGTCACAAACAGTTTACAAACAACAATAGCAACAATAACAACAAAACTTGGGCAGGGAGAAGAAACCAAAGCAAGAACATCCTATAATATCCTGCTCTTCAGATCAACTGGGGCTCTTTGATTTTTCTTCAGGTTGACTTCCGCAAAACTTACAGAACTGAATTATCAGATCCCTACACTCACTATGCCATAATATCACTGCAAAATTACACTTTAATAAAAATCGGGAATATGGTTTCTCTGTCATAGCGTCAAGTGTCCCAAACCTACCAGTAGTATCTGGCTTTTAGTTCTCAGGGGCTATAATGAAAAGAAAGCAAGGGCTTTAGAGACAGAAAAATGAGTTCAATTCCTGACCATAGCACACACTGGCTGTGTGACTTTGGGCAAGGAAATTAACCTCTCTGAGCTCTCTATAACAAGAGGATGATAGCAGTATCATCCTTGGTTTGATGATATATTGTAGCCAAGGCTTCCACCTGGTTCAATACCATATGTACCATTCAGATCTTGATCCATGTGACTCTCATTCCTGGGGATTAGAGTTATTGCTTTTGGGGTTATTTTGAAGAATAAAGGGGTTAGTTCATGCCATCACTTAGAACACCACTTGTCACACAGTAAATGCCAAATGTATTTGTATTATTAGTAGTATTACCACGAGATTATTGTGAGGACTCTATGTGATAATCCTGATAAAGGATAGAGCACAATGCCTGGACTATGGGAAGCTCTCATTAAGTGACCGCTAGAGTCACTGTTGCTTATAAACTACACCAGCTCCATTGTGAACGGAAGCTAGCAGGACGAGATCATTGCACACCGCCACTCCATACCAAATGCCATATGGACATCAAATTGGGTGTGAAAACACAAAACCAGGTATAGTTCAATTATCTGTGCTTATGGAAGGGTTTGGAGGCAAGGACAATCAACCAGGATGGATAATCCAACACCACATCCACTTGGCCATGAAATGCACCGTCAGTTCACATTCAAATATACTATGTCTGCCATTCTGGGGATTAATTTCCACAAAATAATGAATCCACACAAGACAGGCCTGATTCAAGCTGGGAAGTGCCCTGGTTCTTTGGTCTGTTTCCTGCTCATCTCCTCCCTGCAACATACTCCATGCTGAGAATAGCCAGCAGGCTTCCCTGACTGGTGCAGAGAACCAATCTAAACAGGGCTGACCCCTCTCAAATCTTCCCAGAGCATGAAAGAGGCCTGGGTTTCAAAGGCTTCTTCTGCATGAAAATTAACTAGGGCTCCTGGTTGAGATACCACAGATAAGGAGCTAAGGGGACATCTTGCTGCAGAAAATAGAGCCGAGCTATGTATTACTACTGCCTTCGCCCTGTCTGAGATCCAGTGTTGGTCATTTTCTTTGACATAAAGATATCTAGAATCCCACTTCCCATGACAAATCCTGCAAATTCAAAAGGAATGACTTTCCTCTTCATGAAGTAGATCATTTGATGTTCTAATAACATGGGCTTGCAAAAATAAACATTGCAATGAGTACTATATTTTACACATTCATCCATTAAATAAATATTGAGAGCCTTTTAAGAGTCTGGCCTTGGACAAGGAACTGAGCATAAAGAAGCAGAGGAAATACATAAAGCCCTCACCTTATAGCCTAGTGAAAACAATTAAGCAATGGCAGATCAATGTAATCAAGTTAACATGATGATGAGAACACATAGCTAGAGCACCACACCTTGTCTGCTGGAGGCTGGGGGCTGTGATTCAACCTTGATGCTCCCTGGTAAGTCATCGTCACCTCTTCCCCATTCAACAGCAACAGACCCCTTTCGATCTTTAAACCCCAATCTACAGCCATTTTTTGTTCCATAGCCAGAGCAGTCTTCAAATGTGAATCTGAGCATGGCACTCTTCAAATCTCCAGTGGCTTCCCACTGCTCTAAAATGAAAGACAAAAGCGCCTGGGTGGCACAGTTGGTTGGGTGTCTGACTGTAGGTCTTGGCTCAGGTCCTTGGTCTTAGGGTAGTGAGATAGGGCCCTGCGTTGGACTCCACACTCAGTGCAGAGTCTGCTTATGGCTGTGTCTGCTGCAAAACCCCCCACCCCCAAATAAATAAATCTTTAAAAAATAAAATAAAATGACATGAAAGCCAAGTCCTTACTTTGGCATGGAAGGCCTTGCCTGATCTGGCCCCTCCTCCCCACCTCTCAAGGTCCACCAGGCCTGCTCTGCCCACTGCACTGCAGTCGCACTGGTTCCTTTCAGCTCTTATAAAACAGCAAGCTCCTCTTCCTTTCCTCAGGACCTTCTGTTTCCTTCAGTTGGGATGCTTCTTCCACAGCTGATTCCAGCTCCTGTTTGGTCTCTGCCCAAACGCTACCTCCTCATAAAGGCCTTTCCATCAACCTCATGCAGGGGACAATGGGTGTGAGAAAAATTAAATCCCAACTGAGCTTCCTTCCAAGCACTCTCAAAATGTAGAATGATCAGTTCTTGTCTGTTGCCTTGTTTGTGTCTATGAATGCATGAAATGTAAGTGGGAACAAGGGCTCATGTTTGCTGAGCTCTCACTATGTGCCAAGTACTCTTCCAAGCCCCTTCCATGTGTCAACTCATTTCAGCTCCACAGCTAATGTGCAGGCTAAGTTTTAACTGTGGAGACAGGCATGGAGAGGTTAAGCAACTTGCATACTGGTTGTGTGACTTGTACGTGACAAAGGCTACATTTGTACCTGGAAAGCCTGGTTGCAAAATCCACGTTCTTAACTTCCATACTGAGTCACTTCTCAATCACAAGTGTCTTTGTTTTCGATTCCAATAAAATCACCTCCCTAAAGGGTCATTAAAAAGTGACAAAGACCATGGAGGAAGTTTGTTCAGTAGAACTCTGCTTGTTGCTTCCCTTTGGGATCTTCCCTCTCCCCTCCTTTCCCTTAACAATGAACATCCTGCCCTATCCTTTTAGAATGCACTCTACCCATAATAACCCTTAGCAGCTGTGACTACATAAAGCTTATTTATACCCATGTCCTATGGCTAAAAGAGATCTTTAGGCAGCCCACAGCCCTGTCCAAAGAGTATATACATCACCAGGAGACAGGCTGTGAAATAGACTGTGTTGATTTAACTAGAAATGCCCATTATCCAAAAGCAAAGAAAACCCAAGGCCACCTCTGCTTTCTCCCACCCTGACTTCTATTTCCTACTACCCCCAACTCCATTATAATTCTGTGCCTCAATCTTAAATACATTAAAAACACAACCTATTCTATTTCTTTTTTTCCTTCTTCTTCTTCTTCTTTTTTTTTTTTTTTTTTTTCCAAACTAAACAGGCTCAACTTAAGGTCAGTCTCTTCTGGTACACTGGCTCCTATTATGGAGGGAATAAAGGAGAGACTGCTTTTAAAAAGGGAGAGACTGCTTTTAATGACAGTTTCCGAACAGTGGCCTTTTGTACTTGAAGGGATTGATGATAAAGCTCACTGTCAACTGACAGTAACATCAATGTCAGAGCACAAAGGGACGGATGTCCCTCAATATGGGATCATCCCAGAGCCATTAACCAGTGCTAGTCTGCTCTGCCATCTTGGAGGATGGCTACTCCTCATGACAACTAGGCTGCTGCTTCCTCTCCGCAGAGTCAGGAAAGAAAACTCTCTCTGTCCTTCTCCCCTCCCCTCTCTCTTCCTCTTTCTAACACACACAGAGGCACATGTTCCATACGTGAGAGTAATTCAGCACTACCTTGTGGTAAACAGCCATGGTCTGAGTTTGAATCCTAGCTTTGCCAACTCTTTGCGGTATGATTTAGGCAAGTATCTTAGCTTCTCTGTGCTCTGGTGTTCTTGTCTCTAATGTAGAGATAATAATACTAAATATCTCAGGGTCATTTTGCAGATAAAATGACATAGTTCATGCAAAAGCTTGGTGCAATGCCCAGATAAACACTCAAAATATATGTTGGCTGTTATTAGTACTATTAGAGCAATACAGAACTGTACAGTCTATTCTCAGGCATCAGCTAAATGCCTTTCCCTAATGCTTTGGTGAGGGAGATAGGACTTCTACTACTTCAGCCATTTTACAGATGTCTCAGACAGATGTTATGATGGGCTCCAAATCACACAAGTGACCACCAGCAAAGTCAGGACTAGAGAAGTAACTATCTGATTTGAGACCAATGCTTGGTCCACTCTCCCAAGTTATTTCCCAATCAGTTAAAGACCCTATGGCTACTGCATACCTAGAATGATTTTAGAAGCAAGGGAGGAAGGCCATTCTGAATTCCTCAAGCCCATCATAATTTCAAATATTATATCTGATTGTTAGAGTGGCCATATCACTTATCATCTAAACCTGATATTTTTAAGAATGACAAATGCTATATTCTGTAAGATTCCAGAAGAGACATAAACTGAGATAGTACCAGACAAATGCCCTCTACAGATGGTCCACATAATTATACTAGCACAAATCCCCACTCCACCTTCTAGGGTTGACTGTCATTTAATACTTGACTTCATGACACATTTACTCATGCCCTCTCTTTTGGTGGAATCATCCCTCTTTCTTTCAGCCAGTTACTACTCCAATCAATGGTGTTACCACAGACTTTCCAAGTACAGTAGCATTCTTCTTGACAGACTGAAAGATTGGGTGAACGGTGAGTTCAAAGCCAAGCCAACTGAGGTTCTTCTCAGAGATTTTTCTGCTACAGCTGAAAAGGAAAAAAGCCCCATGTTTCTGGGGGAAGACAAAGATCATGATGTTCAAAAGAAAAAAATCTTGGATTTGCCCATGCATTCTTCTTTGGATGCTTAGAGGAAGCTCATCTTTAGCAGGAGAAGCTGCCAACCCAGCAAGAGGTAGAGAGAAGTGGAGATGCAGGGTGAGTGCAAAAAAGGAAAATGTCCTCACAGTTCTCAGTCATTGGTTCCAGTCACAAAAGCTTGAGTCCAGTCTCCAACACTCCCACTCCTACTGTTATTTATTCAACTTTGTAGCCCAACACAAAAATCTCCCCAATTCCATTATCTAATATATATTCTATGATCATTTGTTTGTTTGTTATTCCATTTTGTTAAAAGTGGTATGAATTGTGTTTCCATTACTTGCAATCAAAATATTCTAATAATACAGATACCAAAAATGTGAATATGGACATGGACCTCGAAGAAAGCTAAAATTTTTCAGCAAAAAAGAAGTTAGCAAGGAGGTAGATCAAGCTGAATATTCTTGTTGCAATAATCATTTCAGTGGGCTTGAGGGAGCTTAAAATTTTGATACGAAAATAAGCAAGAGATGTTCCATATCCCAAGAGATCTTGCTGAAAGGAGGACATGCTCATGGAAAGGCATTATGGCATAGTGGCTTTGGCATCAGTAAATGATGGTTCAAATGGCAGTTCCACTGCTGAGTAGCTCTAAGTGGTTGGTCAGGTCACTTCAGCTCTCTGAGCTTCTATTTCCTCCTCCATAAAATAAGGATTCTGATACTTCTCAGAGTTGTTAGGAGAGCCATCAAGGGTGTACATAAGGCAGACAGAAAGTTATTCATAAATCGTGATTATTATGTGTGTGTGTGCAGGGCAATAAAGAGATCCAGCTATAAAGGCTGATAGATGTTAGGATGAAGACTGTGGTATCCCTAGAGGTAGAGAGTATGCTTTCACTGTCTTGGGTCTGCTGTCACCTGGCCCAGGGTCCGGGCTCTTTGAAGTGCTTAATAAAAGTCAATGAATAGATAAATGAAAAATGAAATCATTGATGCATGTACATAGCCTTAGAGGGATCTTAACCATAAAAAGCCATTATCAATGTCCTCAAGGAAAATGTATCTGGCAAGGTATTTAGTGCCAGACTGCATTAAAAGAATCCTCATGACAGCTGTCAAAAAACCTCTCTTTTTTTTTTTTGCAAGAGTGAAAACCTAGAAGACAGTACAAAAAAGTAAAAGAGTAAAGCAATCATTTCTGTTTATATTCATGAACCCAGAAAGTAAAAGTGCAGTATTCATTCAATCATTCATTTATTTGTGACTTTATTCACATGCATTAGCTCCTGCTCTGATTCAGCAATGTTAGGTACCCCAGGGGCCCAAAAATGAAGATGGTTGCTACCAAGAAACCCTCAAACAAGAGTATGAGGAAGATATATGAATAACTGCCTCTGATCAAATATAATAAATATCATACTGTCAGAGACAGAGACAGTCAAGGCTCCAGAACTTCCAAAAGCAGAGCATTCACTTAACCAGAGGATACAGCACTGTGCCAAGGCAGACTCCTGAAGGAGGAAACAGCATAACGAAGGCAAAAAGTTATGAAGATACAGGCCGTCTTGCAGGAGAGAGTGGAGTCTCTGATCTCCTTGGAACAAAGACTGCATGAAGTGAGTGCAAGCACCAGGATGTGGAAGCTGGGTTGACCAGAGGAACCTGCAGGCCTTGAATACCAAACTCAAATACAAAGATTTCATTCTGCAGAAAACAACAGGCCACCAACATTTTTTGATAGAAGGTGGGACATAACCAAAGTAGAATTCTGGTAAAAATAATTTTGAATGTAGAGGGGTGTAGATCAGGAGGGATGGTCAGGTAACAGATTTTATTTTTTTTAATTAAAAAGTAAAAAATTTTGACTAGATGACTAGATATATGGAAACACTGCTAACTATATGGGAGAAGGTTGTGGAAGTCAGGCCTCCAAAAGAGAAAAGGACAAGAAAACCTAACTCAGACTGTATTGGCAGGGTGGGCAGTGAAGGCGTTTACTGGCTTATACAACTGAAACATCCAGTTATAGAGACAAGCTCCAACACAGGTGTTTGTACAGGGTCACCCAGCCTTGTCCTCCCTCCTTCTCTTGGATTTGCTTTTCTCTGTATTGTCTCTCATATTCAGCGGGATCTCCCACAGTGGAGGCCACAGCCATTCCAAGCTCCCATACTCACAACTCCTAACCCGGTGAATCAAGGCGCTATTTCCCCCAGCAATTTCTAATTGAGTTTAACAGGCCTCCACTGGACCAGATACTCATCCTTGAGCCATTCACTGACCTCAGTATTTGGGATGCCTTGACTGGTCAGGCCTGAGTTATGTGTCACTTTTGAATCAGGTGGGTCTGCCCAGCCAACCCCACAAGGAAAGGAAGAGACAGGCTCCTACCTGCTGAAGAAGAGAAGACTGCTGAGCAGTCACCTTGCTTGGGAGATGGGAAGGGGAGAAAGTTGCCATGGGAAAGCAAATGCAGTTGTAATCCGTAAGGTTAAACAGCAGTCCCCTCATGTAAATGCACCTACAGCCAGTGTTATTGGAAGAACCTTCAAATGTTTTCCCAGACCTCCAAGAGCACTTGGAATTTCAAGAATAAAAATATTTTTATTGCTCAAGTCAACTAAATTCCCCTGAAAGTGTAAAGAACTAAATCTCTTCAAAGATGTGAAGACATGCAGTGAAAATGTAAGGACAAACAGAACACTACTAATTCATTTGATATTTTCAAATGGAAATGCTTCCTCCCAG